AGTAGCAGTAGTAGCCGTAGTATTCGTAATCGTAGTCGTAGTCATGGTAACAGTAGAAGTAATTGTAGTAGTAGTAGTAGTAGTAGTAGTAGCAGTAGTAGTAGTAGTAGTAGTAGTAGTAGTAGTAGTAGTAGTAGTAGTAGTAGTAGTAGTAGTAGTAGTAGTAGTAGTAGTAGTAGTAGTAGTAGTAGTAGTAGTAGTAGTAGTAGTAGTAGTAGTAGTAGTAGTAGTAGTAGTTATTAGTAGTAGTAGTAGTAGTAGTAGTAGTAGTAGTAGTCGTAGTCGTAGTAGTAGTAGTAGTAGTAGTAGTAGTAGTAGTAGTAGTAGTAGTAGTAGTAGTAGTAGTTAGTAGTAGTAGTAGTAGTAGTAGTAGTAGTAGTAGTAGTAGTAGTAGTAGTAGTAGTAGTAGTAGTAGTAGTAGTAGTAGTAGTAGTAGTAGTAGTAGTAGTAGTAGTAGTAGTAGTAGTAGTAGTAGTCGTAGTCACAATAGTCGTAGTAGTAACAGGAGTAGGCCCTGCAAGCCTTCTCTGGAGTCACAAACGGCTCCGCATAATGCGGGGGGCCTGCCCCCTTTCAATTCACCCGGGGGCTCGCCGTCGAAAAACGGTGTGGTGACGCACCGTGTGGCCACCTCGAAATCCCAAGAGACCTCACCGCGCGGTCCGTCGCCCCAGTGTTCTGGGGCCTCGGAAGCCCGTGCCGCCCGAGGGCGTCCTCGGAAAACGAATCGAGTACCAAAACCGTGCGGCGACCCCGAATCCCCCATGACTCACCACGCGGCGTGGTCACCACACCGCTTGGAACCCCCGAAATATGCTCTGTGCGGAGGCCCGTCCTCCCTGGACTGCCCCGCGCCCCCGCCCAGCCACCGAGGAATGTGGCGATGCAGCTCTAGAGCTCCGCCGTCATGCTGACTTTCGTGACGTGTGCCCCCCCCCCCCCCCCCCCCTCCAGGCTGTCGGGAGGGGGTGTTCTCGCCGCGGGCCGTTCTCTTGACGGCCTCCGGGGTCCAGAGACGACGTCACGATTGTGTCGTGACGCCTTGGGGGTCTGGGTGAGGAATGCGAAAGGGATGAGGATGCTGTCGGCTGAGGCCGTGTGGGATGGCGGGTCCGTGCTGCAGGAGAGGCGAAGGACTTTCCCCTCCTGCCCTGGCGCCTGGGGGGGTCCCTCGTCGACAAATCATTCATGCGCGACACGCCAGCGTCCAATTTTCACGGCGCACACGTTTAATTTCCACAACCCAGCGCCACCCCCCCGCTAACCACAGGCGACAAGCGGAAACCGTGACGCTCGAAAGGTCGATCTAGGAGACGCGGAGGAAACGGGACGCCACTCTGCTCGCCAGCTGGAAATGGCCAGCACAAACGGTGACAACCGGAGGGCAAATCCACATGTCGCGGGGTCGGCACGCGTGCGGTCTGAGGCCAAACGGACATCCTCTTAGGCCCGTGCGCTCAGCAATGAAGGACAGAACTCTGAAGGAGCAGGCCTCGATTAATATAAGATGTGCTGTGATCTGAGTCCGAAGACAGGGTGTGACGACAATTATTTGGAGCTGCGTTCCAGAACGTTGTTTCTTGCATCTGGTTCGTGTTTTGGGACAGCCCGACACAAACATGGAACGGCTCTCCACTTCTGCAGCCTTCATGAGAAGTGAACGAGCCAGGATGCGAGGAACTAGAAGGGGATACTGTCTGGGGAGGGGACAGGTCGGAGGGAGAGGTGGGAGAGTAAGGGGGCAGATGGCGACGCGCGAGGAGGGGGAGGGGATAGGTAGGAAGGGGGAGTCGATGGAGGAAACATGATGATGAGGGTGAAGATGATCAGGATGATGAAGATGCTGGCGGTGATGCTGATGGTGAGTATGATTGTCATGATGGCGGGAACGGTGAGAATGGTCACGGTGATTATGCTGATGGTGCTGGTGGTGGTGATGATGGTGATGATGAGGACAATGGTGGTGATGATGATGAAGATGCTCGCGTGGCCTCGCGGCCACGGCATGTCAGTCAGGGTGTAACACATGAAATGAAGCGGCGGCCGCTCACAGCAGCCTGCGCGCGCCCAACCACTGCCAGTCGTCGGCGTCCTGCGCGGCCGCCAGCAGAAGCTCGCCGCGGCGCGACGCGAGGGCGGCGGAGGCCCTCGTGGACAACTGCCGGGCGAAATCCATCCGACCGAAGGGCTCGCCAGGGAGGACAGCAGTGCGCCGGGCTGCGTCGGCGATGTCCGTGCCCAGCAGGCCCGAGCCTGCCTTTCGTAACTTTCGTCTCCTCCGCGAACGGGGCGACCGCCTCGCCGTGCCGGGGCTTCTTGCTTTTCCTTGCGTCGCGGGCCTCGTGGCGATGGCGCGCGCTGCTGGGCCCGACTCTCTCGGCGAGCGCGCGGTCGCGCCCACCCGCGTCGGCGCAGGCAAGCCCAGCAAGCCAACGGCGAGGTCGAGCCGCGCCTCGGCGATCTCACCGCCAGCCTCCCGGCGCAGTTCTGGTTCGCAGCGCCCCGTGTCGGCGCGCATGCCGTGGGCGGAGATCCAGTCCGCCACGGCCCGCGCGATCTCGTTGTTCAGTCGGATGCGGTGCGGCCTCGCCGGGCAACGGGGCGCGTGAAGGCCCGCGACATCCAGGGGCCTGCCGCGAGCGCCTTGTCGCTCGTCGCCGCCCTTGGCGGCGCTGCCGGATGCTGGAACGCGCGCGTGGCTGGGGTATCCAGTGAATTTAGCAGGGGGCCGTGGCGCTGGAACGTGACCACGAAGGAGGCGCCGTGGAGGGCCGGCTCGCCCTGCCGCGTGAAACCGTTCCAGGAGGCTCCGCGGTAAAGCCCGCCGCCAGACAGGCGCCGCGGGCACGCGGGCCCAGAGGCGGGTGGCGGCGAGAGCAGCGAGGCCGCGGTACGCCCGAGCGGCGAGCCGTTGCGGCCCGCCCGCGTGCCCTCGTAGTCCTGGCTCGCTGGCAGGAGCAGCAGATGGCTTCCGGGGCGTCGTCGGCCTCGACGTGAAAATCGAATGCTGCCTCTGTCGGGAGCTCGGCCGCCCAACGGACTCCCTCCTAATCGAGCCGGGCCTTCGCCGTGAACTCGATGCATCCCGGGCGCAGCTGGACGCCTGCGACGGCCATCTCGTCGCGAGCTCGGGCGGCAAAAGGCGCGTCATGGTGGGGGCTGGCGACAGTGCGGCCGAGGCGGGCGGCGACGGCAATCGCGTCGGCCTCCACCGAGACATGGCATGCGTAGGAAGCCGCCCAGGCGCGCTGCAGATCTGCTGGCCGAGTGCCCAGGCCGCCGAGGAAGGCGTGCAGGCCAACGACGGCAGCGCGGTCCGGGCAGAGGGGCTGCGTGGCGAGGGCCTGCGTGACCGCGTGCACTGCCGCCGAAGCGCGCCGCAAGGCTGACTCTAACTGGCGCCCACGGAGGACACAAACGCAAGTCATAACCCAGCCTTCTCGCGACGCCCCTCGACAACATCATGATGTACGCTGCGTGGCAAGTGCGCGGGTTCGTGCCGCGCCATGTCCAGCAGCATCGTGCATGAGGCCTCTATTTCTTCCGCGCGCGCTGCAACAGGGCCGTCCTCCCGGACATCAGCACCATGGCGGATGCGCATGACGCACTGGACCTGCAGTGCTGAGCCCAGCATCGTCAATACCCCGAACGACCGCGAGCCGAGCGCGGCGAGCTGGTTCCCGTGACGGCCGAGGGGCCCCAGGCCTGCCTCCACAAGCGGCGCACTTGGACGGGACAGAACGCTGGTGCTCTGCGGCCAATCGGGGCCTCAGGTCGCCCACGATCCGCAAGGCGGCAGAGGCCGACGACGCGAAGTACCAGTCGTCCGCGATACCCATGGTAGCGGGCCTCCCTGCTGGCGCCTGGCGCCGCGCCGCCGCTTCTCCGCGAGGACATGGACCACGATGGCGTGGGCGACGATGTAGAACGCAACCTTGATGAGGAAAGACCCCTGGGTGACCCCGTCCACGTGCCCACGCAACGCCATTTTGGGGCCGACGCGGATCCACACGTGGGACAAACCGGCCCGCCACTGCGGAGCTTGGCAAGCGGCGCCGCTGCCTCGCGGACGCGTCGGAGCGCGCCTGGACGCTGCAGGCGACCGTAGACGCTCCCGAAGTCAAGTTTCACGATGGTATGGCGAGCAGCGGCAGCGGCGGCACGGCGAGCATGACCGTGATCAACGTGCACAGGAGGTTGAAGGAGGAGGAGGCAGTGAAAGAGGAATGGGATGAATGGCTGGAGGAGCAGGTCGCTAAACGACCCGCCTCGGAGACCGTGGTGTGTGGCGGCGACTGGAACATCCACGCGGAAGACGGGGAGGTCAGCCACTTCACCAACATGCAGATCGGGGGCAACTTCAAGCCGGTCGCCCCCAGGCGCCCGACGAGGTGGAAGTCCACGAAGACGATCGACTGGTTTTTGGTACGGCGGGATACCCACCACACCAGGTTGCAAGCTCGTGTGCTGGACGACGTGATTTCCGATCACAAGATGGTGGTCCTCGACATGCCCCCCTGGCAGGGGCGTGCCCCAGGGACCCGCGGATGGAGGTGGCAAAAGGCACCCCCAGTACGCGTCCCAGACACAGCGGAGGAGAGAGAAGCTTGGACGGGGAGAATGGCAAAGGAGTGGCATTCACCGGAGGCGGACGCCACCGCTGGACCAGCTGAGAGATGGAGGTGCTGGGCCCGCAGGGCGGAGATCGCTTTGCGGCGGCAGGAGGCCCGGCACCGACGAGAGCCTCAGGCACCGGCCGCAGGAGGAGAAAAAAAGGAGGACGAGGAGGCTGAAGATGAGGACGGGATCGGGCTGATCCCAATAGCCCAGACGATGAAGAGCGATGCCAAGATCGTGCCCAAGCGCCTATCCAATGACGGCGCTGGGAACGAAATGGGCGGAGAAGAGGCGCAAGCGAGGAAACAGCTGAGTCGAATTGGCTGGCTGCGCGACAGGAGGAACAGAGGGAGGACAGAGGAGGAAAAGAAGGAATTCCAGAGGAAGGCGGCCAAAGCAGCGCAGGTCAACAGGCAGCACGGGGTGCGGCAGGCGTCCCGGGCCGGACAAGTGCGCGCTTGGGAGCAGATTCTGGACAAGATCCTGCAGAAGCAGTACCGCGAAAGGATGGCAGCTTGGAGGAGGAAGATGCAGGAGATGAAGGCACCGACCTACCAATGGGTCAAAGGGCAGGGGCACAAGTCCACGGACGCCGCCCTGAAGAGGAAGGAGGAGTGGCTGAGTGGGCCTGCTGCGGTGGACGAGCTGCGAGCGCACTACGAGAAGCACTTCGCGTGGGCGGGGCACGGCACGGACGTCGAGGGCTACCTCAAGACCTTCGCGGGGGAGTTAGAGGACATGCAGGCGATGATCGAGCATGCGGCAGGCTGGGCGCCCCCAGACATCGCCTCGGCAGCCGAGGATGGCAGGTGGTCTGCGCCTACAGCGGCGGATATGCGGCGGTCCCTGCACAGCATGCGGAAGACCGCAGCGGGACTCGATGGGTGGCAGGCGGCAGAGCTGGAGGTCCTTCCGGACGCAGCGCTGCAGGAGCTGATCGAGATCCTGGGACAGGCGGAGTTGCAGGGATGGCCCCCTGAGCTCCAGCAGTGGAGGCAGGTACACTTGCCGAAGACAGATCCGCCAGAACTAGAGAAGATGCGCCCGGTGTCCATCGCGTCCACGGTGTTACGCATGTGGACGCGCTACCGGGCATCGCAGCTGGAAGCGTTCTTGCGGCCGGCGTTTTCGGAGGCACAGGCAGGCGGGTTGCGAGGCCGGCGGCTGGAGGAGCTGCTGGACCCCATCCTGGAGCAGATGGAGGCCACAGCAAACGAGCTGGAAGGCGGGTGGCGGGAGCTACATGGACGCACTTGGGACTTCCAGTCGGCGTTCGACACCGTAGAGCCGCAGCTCGTGCAGCAGATTTGGGTCACGCTGGGCGTGCCCGCCTGGCTGGCGGAGGGTGTCGCCAGCACGTGGAAGACGCAGACGAAAGTCGTGGAATTCGGAGGATATGTGGCCAAAGACCGCATCGTGGTGCAACACAGCATGCCCCAGGGCTGCCCATGCGCGATGCTGGGGATGGCAACCGTGATGGCTGCCCCGGTGTGGAGGGCGAAGCGGGCGGCGCCAGACGCGATTTTGTCGGTCTATGCTGATGATCGCGCGGCCGTCGGTATGACAGAGCACCAGATCGACAGAATTGAGGAGGCCTGGGCGGCGCTGGAGGCCTGCACGAGCATGAGGACGCACCGCGGCAAGACGCAGTCCTTCTGCATGGTTCAGGGCGCCATCTGGGACATGACGAGGCGAGAGGAAAGGGAGGAGGATGAGGCAGCAAAGCAGGGAGACGAGGCAGAAGGCGAAGAGGAAAGAGCTGCTGGAAGACGGGGCAGAGGAAGCAGAGGACGAGGCAGAGGCAGAAGAGGAGGAGGAGGAGGGCGGAAGAAGGAAGGACGAGGAGGACATCCCCCGCCAGGGCGCAGGATAGACCAGGTGAGGCTGCTTGGTGTGGAGATCCTGATCGGCGCGAGTGCAGGGCTGACAGTGCGCGAGCAGACAAAGATTGAGGAAGGCACGAGGAGGGCGAAAAGGATCATCAGGTTGCCGCTTCAGCCGCACCAGCGCCGACAACTGGCGGGGGCATGTGTGCTTGCAGCGGTCACGTGGCCCTTGGTCCTCAGGAGCCCGACCCAGAAGCAGAGACAAGGATTGGACACTATGTTGTCGAGGGCCGTGAGAGGTGACCAGTGGCGATCAGGGGCCAGGCCGCTGCAGCAGCTCCTCCTGGTTGGCCACACTGCCGACTTTTCGCTGCGCTTGCTGGACAGAATCTGGACGCTGATGGACGCGAGAATCCGGCGACGCGGAGCCGCGTACGTCGAGGACGCTTTCAGGCAGTTCTGGATGCAGGACAAAAGGACCGCCGGGGTCATGCAGGCCGTGGATGCGGCGATGAGAAAGCTGGGATTTCTCATGATGTTGGACGACCAGGACCACGTGATCTGGAAAGCGCCTCCAGAGGCAGATGGGGCCGAGATCTCCCTGACCTGCCCCAAAGACGCCAGGGACCACCTCATTCGTGAGGTATGGCGAAAGAGGCTGTGGGCAACATTCCTGGGCAGTCGCACGCGGCGGGACAGCGCTGCCGGACGGCACGCGCAGGCGCCCTATTGCCCTCGGGCTATCCGTGCGGCGCTGGAGCTGACGAAGGCGTCAGACCACGAGATCGCGATCCTCACGGGCGCGTTCTTCAGCAATGCGAGACTGGCTAAGATCAAAGGGCTTCCGATACCCAAGTGCCTCGGCTGCGACTTGGACGAGGTCGACGACGCAGCGCACACCTTCTGGAGATGCCCGAGGTTTGCGCAGTGGAGGAGGTTCGTGGCGATCCCGCCGAACCCGGAGTGGCCGGTCTGGCCAACCAGGCTGCTTCGCGGCAAGAGGGAGGTGGAGGAGTTCAAACAGCGGATCCACTACATGGCCAGCGTCCGGCAGTGCATCCTGCATCAGAGACATCGCCGCACGGACGCCGAGGGAGAGCAGGCAAGGAGGCCCAGGAGGACGAGAACCGTCTTCGCTGAGGAGGAGGAGGGAGAGAAAGAGGAGGAAGAGGAAGGGGACTGTGAGGAGGCTGAGGAGGTGGCCAGAAAGGCGAGGAAGAGAAGAAGGAGACAGAAAGCTAAGGAGGGTGAGGAGGTCGAGGAGGTGGAAAAGCATCGTAATAAGAGGAGGAAGTGTGGAGGTGGAGGTGGGAGAGAAGGCTGAGGAAGATCAGACCAGGAGCAGAAAGCAGCAGTGTAGTATGGGAAGATCGATCATCTCGCGAGCCCTCCGCAGGCTCGCCGCCGTCTCTGACGGCGTACCGGATGTCCGGTAACAAAGTGCTCACACGATGGTATGGCTGTTGGCATCCTCCAGACCCGCGCCCGCCTGGCCAGCCGCGCGCTCCCCGGCAAGCGCAGCGGCGTCCGCTGCCCAGGCTCGCAACGTCTTGATGCACAAAAGGGTGCCCTCGGGCGTGAAGCCCAGCGCTGCCGGCTCGATGCGCCTCTGAATGCCCGCGAACTGCTTCTTGACAACCACGCTCTCGACAATTTTCATGAGGGTTTCCGTGAAACCGACGGCGCAATGCTTCAAGGAACCATCCTGGCGGCGCTTGCCCTGGTCCACGGGCGCGAATACAGCAGCGCCGCACAGCGCCGCGCTCGCTGCCGACAGGAGACCGTGCGTGGCGACCTCCCGAACGCAGCGAACGCGGCTGGGACAGCCAGGGCCCGTGATGATGACTATTATTATGATGATGATGATGATGATGATGATGATGATGGTGATGGTGATGATGGCGATGGTGATGATGATGGTGGTGGTAATGATGACGTTTTTTGTTGTTTCCATCCTCGCTCTACATGTGCAGCTTCTCTCGCCAAACCAACGTTCGTTTACAACACTACTGCCGCAAATCACGCCAACAAAAATACACCGAAAGGAGCAAACGCCCTCCGAGACCCAACAGCTTGCGGGGACGGCCCATAGAGGACGCCACGGGAACGAGGAAGAGGAGGAAGAGACAACAACTCAGCGCGGAAACGGCAATGCCAGGGGACGGGAAACAGAGACAGGAGGAGGAACGACGAGATAAGACCAACAAAGGCAGAGCGACAGGAAACTCAACGACGAGCACTGCTTCAATGTGGTCAGCTAGCTGTCACGCAGCTGGTAAGACCACGAACGACCACGTCGTCAGCTCTGAATGCCTCGAGTATCTTCACTGCGGCCACCGCCAAACGGCAACCTCCGTCAAGTTGCGCCGCATACTTCCGAGTCTTACCATTCAAAAGTGGCCAGGCAAGCATCGGGAGAAGAAAACGAACACATAGGTGCTGACTCAAGATATCAAGCTTGCCCGCAAACTCGCATTTATGATAGTCGAATGAAACCATCACTGTGTCGGCCGTGCACGGCTTGTGCAAGAAGGGATCTACACGTTGGTCATCTCTGCTAATCTCAGAAAGAACCATCCCCCTCACGAAATTCAGTTGACAAACGCTCTGCATAGCAAGAGAAGGAACACCGGGAGCCTGCACACCTACAGGGGGCGCCAACATCACACCGTCGTCCTCGCTGTCCTCGCCACGCGCCTTCTGGCGGGGCGGAGAGCAGCGGCTGCGTCAGGAAGACCAGCACCATCTCGGAGAGCAGCGCGGTCAGCTCGCGCACGTCCGGCAGCCGGGATGCCGCACGCCTGCGCAGGGCCAGGGGAAGACCGGCAGCGCCTCGAAGGCCGGCAGCAGCGCGGCCACCAGCGACCCCACGTGCGCCGTCGGCTCTCCGCGATCGGCGGCTTCAGGAAGGAACGGCGGCGGCGGCACGCCGGTCGGCGCCACCATGCCGGATCGGCATGCGCAGCCGAAGGCCAGGGACCACCCGCCCCCATGCCACGGAGCAGCGCCACGTGGGGGAGGAAGATCCCCACGATTACAGTCAAAAACCCTAATAAGGACGCGCGGTAAGGACGCAAGACCCTTGGAAGCCGAAGTTGGGATTTTTGGGGCGGCGGACGACGAAAACCTCAAGGACGCAAGAGCAAGGAAGAGCAAGGACGCAAGGGTACCCTGAGCAAAGTCGCGCGTCCTTATTAGGGTTTTTGACGGTATCGGCATGAGCGCCACTCCTCCAACACCACGCCACGGCTCCGTACGACCCGCACCACGATCCGAGGACAGTATGAGCGCCATCGGGAGAGGGTGCGGCGCTACCATCTTCACCGCCATCCTCATCGGAATGCGCTCCTCCCAAAGGACCCCCCCGAGCATCACAGGGAAGGCCACCACGATCCCCACCAGGACGGTCCACGCAAGCTTCGCCATGATGATCCGCATCACCTAGGAGTACTCCAAGACGCACTCCATGCACTCCGCCTCCATCGCCTCCAGACGGTAGGGCGCCAGCAGGGCCAGCACGGATACCTCCTGCAGCGTGAAGGTGATAGTGCAGCCGCTTCATCTTGAAGATGATGTGCGCCTCGCCAGTCGAACTCCCATGGCCGTGGTCCACGAGGCATGGTGGTGATGCAGATGAAGATAGGAGGAGAACGAATGGAGTAGGCGGGGGAGGGATGACAAGAGGAGGATACAGGTTGCGGAGAGGCGAGGGAGAGCGGAGGCGGTAGGGAGGAGGAAGGCGGAGAGCGGCGAAGAAGCACGAGGAGCGGGAGCGGGAGGCTCGGATCCCCGTGGAGAGCGTGGAGTCTGGGAGGCTGAGACTCAGAGCGCGATGCCCATGGCATCGAATGCCATGCTCAGCTCGTTCAGGACGTGGTAGTTGTAGTGCACCCCGTCGAAGGTGGCATTGCACATCCCGTCGGTGAGGCTGAAGGCATCCACGATGCCTGGCGCCTTGCCCTGCAGCTCCTTGCTCGCGGCAAGGAGGCGGTTGTTGAGCTGGAGGATACCCCCACGAGTGAATGCCGACTCGATGCACCCCGCCTGGGCATCTGCAGCACCGACGCCCTCCCCGATCAGCTCGCTCGTGCAGTTCCGCGTGGCCTTCACAGGATCGCTCTTGTAGTCCGCCACCTCCTGGCCCCACGCCCCGGTGAAGAAGTCCTCGCAGATGCAGTGGGAGAGCATCAGGGCGACCTTGGCTGCCGGGGCGACCTCGGGCGCCGCTTTTTCTGGGGGGGGGGGGGCCATCCACGGGCGGGGGGGAAGAGAGGTGCTCCTCTCGTACACCCTCGGGGCCCCATGGGGGGCCTAGCCAGGGTTCCTTCAGGGCCCCTCTCCTGTAACCCTTTTCCTGTAGGGCCCCTTTTCCGTAGGGCTCCTCCAGGCTTCACTCAGGGCTCCCGTAGGACACCCCATGTATCGCCCCCCCCCCCTTGCGAAACGCCCAACGGCCTCGGAGCACCGCTGGACCGTGCTTGTGTAGGCGGCCTCGAGACCGCGGAAGTCCTCGTACCTTTGCCTGTTCCACTCCAGCCCCTTCGGCCCGAGGCCCCGCAGGACATGCAGGCCGGAGTTCAAGTAGATCCCCGTGGGGGCCGGGTAGCCCCACGAGATCACCTTCTCCACACACGGATCGAACATCGAGGATCGCGTTTTTTAGACTCGGATTTCTGCTTTTGTTTGGGTGGGTGGCTTCCCCGCCTCCTCGGTGCTGAATTAACGCCTCGCAGCCCGACATAGGCCCTCCCGCGCTGAGCGATCGCCAGCAATGCGACAGAACACTTTTTTGGTGGAGAGGCCAGCGGAAACCTTCAGAAGCTTCTGTGGACCTCCAGAAGAAGCCTGTGGGGACCTCCAGAGACCTCCAGAGACATTCGGGGGCCTCCAGAGACCTCCAGAGAGGGAGGAGGACGGAGGGAGGAGAAGTAGACAAGGGATGAGGAGAAGGTGTTGGAGGAGGGGGATTAGGAAAGGGAGAAAGAGAAGCAGGAGCAACAGCAGCAAGAGGATCAGGAGGTCAGGACACCACCTTCTCCACGAAGCCTGCCTCCATGGGTTCCCACGTGTGGTACAGGAATGCGGCACCGATGCTGGAACTGCAGAAATTTCTCGTTGCGACCTTGGAGTTCTCCTCCAGCCTCATCACGGCTCCACCTCCCTCAGGGCTCGGGTCAGCGATGTCCTCACCGCTGCCGTCCCGAATGATCGAGCAGAAAGCCATCCACTGGTTACGCATGGTGGAATCTCCGAAGAAATATATCACGGGAGTCACGGCCTGCTTTTTGAGCCTCTCCCTCAGCGGCTTGTAGAGGTGGGTGTTCTGGTCTGCGATCAAGAGCGCATTCCGCCTCGCAGCGCGACTATGATTTTCGAAGAATGCAATGGGGGGATACAAGCAGGTGCAAGGTTCTGGAACATGCTGGCAGGTCTTCGGCACCCGAGGCGCTCCAGAAAATGCCTGTCCCCGAACTCCACATCCTTTCCGTTCTGCTGCGTTTCCCCGCGCCCTGCTGCCTTCTTCCCCTCGCTGCTCTCCGTCCTCGACGTCTTCCTCCCCAATCTACACTACCCTTCCACTGGCCATCGCTCGGACGTCCATTCCCTGTGTTTTTTTTTTTTGGGTTTCGTGCGTGGTTTTTTCGCCAAATGATCAAGGATGCTCCTCGATGGTCCTCGCCGAAGGAAACATGCACACGTCCGAGCGATGCCAAGTCCAACGAGCTCCCCTCCGTCGCGCTGCCGGACGTGTCCGCAGGGCGGTCCACGGAAGACCCCCTCGCGCCCCGTGGTGTGGGACCTCGACGCTCTCCGCAGCTACACGGATGGACGGCTGGTGGTTTTCAATCTCAGGCTCTCGCTTTGGGCCCCTTGCTGCACTTTGCGACCGCAGCGCCACACTCAGACAGACAGACAGACAGACAGACAGACAGACAGACAGACAGACAGACAGACAGACAGACAGACAGACAGACAGACAGACAGACAGACAGACAGACAAGCCATACACCAAGCGGTGCGTGGGCGTGAGCACAGGTGGAAAAACAACGCACTCTTATTCGGACAGCAAGGCGGGCCGACAAAGAAACGCGGGCAAGGCAAGAACCGGGCAAGGAAACGCGGGCAGCGCCACACTACCTCCTACATTTCAAAGGCTGAGGGAGGCCCGACCCCTTTTCAAAAGGTGGTTGTCGTCTGGAACTTCCCGACCAACTTTCTGTACGGCGAGAGAGCGCAGCAACCCGTCGAACGACCCGCATGGCTAAGGTAATACACCAGGGTATTTTCAAAGTCTGGGCGGATTGGATGGAAGTCGGTTTGTTCAAGGTATTGGCCCCGCATGCGTCTACTTACATTACCTTGTCTGGGAACATGTGGTGTGAGATCCACGATTTGCAGGGATGGAGGACTGGTCGCTTTCAATATCTGGTTATCATCCAAACTGCGTTTCTAAGTGTGCACGGGAGTGGGCATCGCCTAAGGCTTCTCTACAATGGGGCGCCGAAGCGTGATTTTCCAATATATGCACGCGTTGAGTGCCCTTGGTTAACTAGTTACACCATATCCTCTAGCCCCAATCGTTCCGTTGTCTCACTGTGACTTTTACGATTACCAGCTCCAGCAGCTGCATGGACGGGCGGACGCCGGTTCCGCACTCGCGACATCCCTGTCCATATGACCTTGGAGCTGAAACCACACGAGGGAGCGCTAAATGAGGATCGAAGCCCCTGTTGGTTCTCCCAAAAGGCCTCGGTGGAACAACCGTGGATGGACTTAAAGAAGGACGAGCCCTTTGCGAACCCGATCTGTTTTATATTTCAACGTATTCGCTGTACATACTTAAATGGTCGGTTCCGGAAGCGCTGAACTGAAGCTTGTTGTCAAATCTTGAGGGTGCATCTGTAAACTCCGCCGCCGTCCGCTGGCCTTCTGCTCGCAACACCGCCCTCGTTTTACTTCCGCCAGCTTCTGCCGGGCTTCCACCGAGGAAGAGATGCCGATTCTTTCGATTCCTCGAAGGCGAGGCCGTCCCGGGAACACTACGAACGCAACGTCCGACCGAGCAGCTGGGGGAGCGGCTCGCCCCAATAATGAGGCGGACGCAGATTGTACTGCACATTCAGAACACACACAAGCCCCTTCCACACGTTCAAACATGAGGAGTGACTGATCACAATCAATTACAAATTATCATCCCCGAGAGCCTTCCTTGGACAAATCCTGCCTTGCCGCAGTGCTCCCTGTAACGCAACTCCGATCGACTACGAAAACTTTCGCATATAATCAATCCGCCTCGTCCCTGGTCTGTCCTGGCACCTTAGGAGGCCGACAAATGTCTACCACATGACACCTGCAAACGCCTACTCGAATCCTCCCAAGTCTCACGCGGCACAACATATTGTTCCGAGCGGCTGCCAATCGCGAGCGATGTCTGCTTGTCATGTCCAAAGAAGCCGTGCCGTACACAGCTGTAGGAGTGATCACAGATTTGAGCAATTTCAACCGAAGGCGCAGTGATATGTTCTTATTTGTAGGCGTCGGACCGTCTGCTTGTTCGCGTGGAAGCGGCCCCACGCGCACTCCAGCCTGTAGTCGAGGCGAAAGCCCGCGCAACCAATCAGCTTGCTACGGGACTCCCGGGAAACGACGAAACGTACTTAGTCAAGTTTTTACACTTCCGGCAGCTGCGTGGCGTGGACGGGCATCGGGATCCTTTTCGGATCCGTGCGCCCGTCTCGGCGACGCAGACATATTCCCCAGTGCCTCCTGCCACGCACGCGCACGGAGGGCGACTCCCTCTCAAATCTGTGATGGTCTCGCCACACCGTGCGGTCGCACAGCTGCCTGATCGCTGATGGCCATAAGAAGAACGGATGCGTGAGGTTCAACCACCCCATCCCCCCTCATCAGATACTCCTCTTCAGCACCCAATGCCTCCACATATCCCTCCTTCATCCTCCTCCTCCTCATCTAACATGCCCCGTCGTTCCTCCTCATCCTCGCCAGTCCACACTCCTCCTCCTCCTCCTCCCTCCTCCTTTCCCTCCTCTCTTCTAGTCCTGCCACTTCCTCGAGCTACACGGAACAGTTACCTTAGTAGGCAAGAGTGACCTGTGGTGAGCGGCTTCAGGGGGCCGTGAAAGAGCAAACCCATGCGCGCAAGCCAACGGTGGGGCGAGGGCCCTGTGGGCCCGCACCAAAGGTCACTCCAGCGAAAGGTCGCTCCTACACGTTGCCGGTTCCTGTGGCAATGCCATCGGGTTCTGCCTCTTCCACCTTCTCCAAGTCCAAGCAGCCACGAGCGGTGCCACACGCAGAAGGTACCGCCTTTCCGGTTTTCCCAGGTCTTCGGACTCGTCCTCTCCCCCCTCCTAGTCCTCTTTCACGTTTTCCTCCAGGAAGCCTCGCCCGTCTCGTGTTCGTCCTCCTCCTCCTCTCCTCCTCCTCCTCCTCCTCCTCCTCCTCTCCCTCCTCCTTCTCACTCTCCTCCTCCGCTGCCTACACGAGGAGAAGGAGGACGCTGAAGATGATGAGGATAAAGAGGGAATGCGAATCGTCTGTGAAGCGCCTTCTTGTGCGACGAAATCGAAGTAGCAATAGAGGATTAGGGGTCGCATCGCCGACTCCACGAATTATTGCGTGTGTGTTTTGTGTTTGCGTCTGCGCGAATGTGAATGTGTAAACTATGCTGGTGCATCCCGTGAGCATTCCACGCGTTCGTGAGTCTACAGCGCCGGGAAAGGAATGATTGTGTGTGTGGCTGACCGCCGCATGTGGGAGGGCGCGCCGCTGGATGGCCCCAGGAGGGGGGACGGGTGGGACCCCCCCCTTTCTCCGATCCGTCGTCGGGGAACCTCCCCTCCTCCCCCCTTCATCGATCCGTCGTCGGGGACCCCCCCCCGCCTCCCCCCCTTTCCCGGTCCGTCGTCGGGGAACCCCCCCCTCCCCCCCTTTCAAAAGGGGGAAGGGGGTTCGAACCCCCCCCTCCCCCTCCCCCCTTTTGGCCGCCAAGTTCGACCCCCCCCCCTCCCCCCCTTTCGCCACGGCGGCCCCGGGCTCTGGAACCCGACCCCTGCCACCCCTAGCACTAATCCTCACCCTTACCCTAACCCCTAACCCTAATCCCAAGCCCTAACCTTGGCCAAAAATAATACCCACTACTCATTACGCACTACTCACTACCCACTGCTCACCACTCGATACTCACTACTCACTTCTCACGCCTCACTACTCACTACTCACGACTCCCTACTCTCTACCACTACTCACTACCCACTACCCACTATTCACTACTCCTTACTCCCTACTCCCTACTCACTACTCGCTACTAACTACTCACTACTCACTACTCAATACTCACTCTCACTACCCACTACTCACTACCACTACCCACTACTCACTAATCGCTACTCACTACGCACTAACCACTATGCACCACTCAATACTCACAACTCACACTTCACTACTCACTACTCACTGCCCACAACTCACAACTCACTATCCACTACTCGCTACTGACTACTCCCTCCTCCCTGCACAGTACTCACTATTCACTACTCACTAATCACTACTCGCTGCTCCCTACACCCTACTCGCTAGCCAATCTACACTATTCCCATACCGCTACTCACTACTCACTACGCACTACTCACTACTCCCAACTCCCTACTCACTGGTCACTAGTCACTACTCACGGCCACCACTCACTTTTCACTACTCTCTACTCGCTATTCATTACTCACTACCCACTATTAGCTACCCACTCCTCCCGTCTCACTACTCCCTACTCACATCTCACTACTCACATCTCACTACTCACTACTCACGCCCTACTCGCTACTCACGACTCACTTCGCGCTACTCACTACTCGCTACTCACTACTCACTACCCACTACCCACTACCCACTACTCCCTACTCACTACTCACTACTCACTACTCACTACGCACTACGCACGACCCACTAGTCATTACTCACTACTACGTACTCTCTAGTCACTACGCACTCCTCGCTACTCACGACTCACTACTCTCTATGCACTACCCACTACTCACTACTCATTACTCACCACCCACTACTCACTACCCACCACTGACTACTCCCTACTCCGTACTCCCTACTCAGTACTCACTACTCATTACTCTCTACTCACTACTCTCTTCTCGCTACACGCTACTCACTACTCACTAATCAGTACTCACCACTAACTATTCACTACTCTGCATTTCAGTACTCAGCACTCACTACTCACGACCCACAACTCCCCACTCTCTACTGCCGATGCCCTATTCGCTACTAACTACCCACAACTCACCATTCACAACGCACTACTCACAACTCACTACTTACTACACACTACTCCCTACTCCGTACTCCCTACCCACCTTCTCCGGCGCAGAAGCGAGGATCGGGAGTAGCCCCCTCCCCCCCTCCCCGGCCCCCTGTTCGGCGCAAAGGGGGGGAGGGGGGGGGGTCGACCCCCCTTTCCAGCGCCAAGGGTGGGGGGGGGTCGGGACACCCCCCCTTCAAGGGAGGAGGGGGGGGGGTTTGGACCCCCCCCCCCCAAAGGGGGGAAGTGGGGGAGGGGGGTTCGAAAATCTCACCTCCTTTTTGAAGGGGGGGAGGGGGGATGGGGGGTTCTGCGAGCACCCTCCCCCTTTTCAATTACAGGGTCATCCAGTGGCGCGCTTTCCGAATGTGGCCCTGATCCGCCTCCACCTTCCTCCCCTCCCGCCTGCCCCTTTTCTGCCTCCTCCGCCTCCTCCTCCCCCCCCTCCTCTTCCTCCTCTTCCTCCTCCTCCTCCTCCTCCTCCTCCCCCTCCTCCTCCCCTCCTTCGCGTTCTCCTCCTCCCTCCCCTGCTCCTTCTCGACACCCGCTCGTCGTCGTCATCGTCGTCGTCGTCGGTCGTCGTACTCCTCCTTCCGGAGGCGAAGGAGGGAGGGACTTCTGGCAAACATATTGTCCACCCGCCCACTTCAACTGAGCACCAGGGACAGTGGCATCATCGCTCCCAGCGTGGGCGTCGATCACGAGCGCCCGCGCAACGGACGCGCAGGCCACAAGGGCGACAGCGCGTGACATGGCCGCGGCGCGGCCACGATGTGTGGTGGTGGCTGAATGGATTCGGTATGAAGATCTGGGCCGAGTCGCTGCAAAGTTGGGCCTCGGGTGCGGCAGCGCCGGGGGTCACCACTCGGGGGGCACAGTGGCCTCGATGCAGGCAGCGGGGGAGGCGGCAGCGCTCCGCGTGTGGTGTGTGATCCACCTCCGTAGACGGTGGCGCGGGATGCGGGCCGCCCCGAAACACGTCCCCCCTTCTAAGTGGCCATAACAGCACGTGGCATGTGCTGCACCATGGGCTGCGAGGCAAGTTGTGCTCCCTGTGAAGCACAAAACAAGACACGGGGACACTCGAATCCCCTCGACGACGACGATGGAGACGAACGGCGAAGACCACAGACGAAGACGATGACGACGACCGACGGCATCGATCGCGTCGACGACCGACTGACAGCGCCGCAAGGCGACCGATGATGACGGGCGGCGGCGACGACAGACGACAGCGACAAGGACGGACGACGAGGGCGACGATGGCCGACGCTGTCCTGCGCAGCGGGGCACTCCGAAAGCCTCCGACAGCATCCGCCGGGCCCTCGAAGGCCCTCCGAAGGGCCCTCCGAAGGCCTCCAGAGGTCTCCCGAGACCTCTGAGGGCCTCTTCACCAATCGGGGATGGACAGACCCCCCTTTAGCAAAACGTGGTTTAGTGAAAACGACGTGAGGCCCAAACCTGGCGGGCGCAAGCCTGGAAAATAGCGGCCACGGCGCCCTCTCGAGAACCGAAAACGGACAATTCACGAATCGACGTGTCACTGTTGGGGGTTCTGTCCACCCCCGAACCAAGGGCTTTGGCCTCGAGAGGCTCCGAGGGCTTCCGCGGGGCCCCCTCGCCGCGGGCCAGCGCCGCGCCTCCTCGCCAGGGGCCTCCGCGGGCGCGCGCGCGCGCGCGCCGGGGAGGGGGGCTGCCTGGCCGCGGCGCGGCGGCGCGGCGAAGAGCACGCGCGGGAACGCGGGACGCGGCCTCCTGGACCTCCCCGCGTGGCGCCGCGCCGCGCCGCTCCGGCGGGGGCGCGCACGTCGCAACCGTCTTCGGTCCGTGGTCGTCGTCGAGGTCTTCGACCTGGTCGACCGTCGTCGTAGCCGTCGTCGTCCGTCGTCGCCGTCGCCGCCTGTCGTCATCGTCGTCGTCGTCGTCGTCGTCGTGGGTCTCCGCCATCGCCGCACTCGCCACCGTCGCCGCCGCCGCAGCTGTCGTCGTCGTCGTCGTCGTCGTCGTCGTGGTCGTCGTCGCCGTCGTCGTCGTCGTCCGTCGTCCTCGTCGTCGTGGTCGTTGTGTCGTCCTCAACGTCGTCGTAGCCGTCGTCGTCGTCGTCGCCGTCGTCAACGTCGTGTCGGTAGGTCGTCGGTCGTGATCGTTGGATGTCGGGCGTCAGTCATCGGTCGTCGCCGTCTTCGGTCGGTGGTCGTCGTCGTCGGTCACCCGTCGTCGGTCGACCGCTGTCAGTCTTCCGTCGTCCGTCGTCCGTCGTCCATCGTCGTCGTCGTACGCTCCGTCGTAGTCGTCATCGTCGCCGTCGTAGTCGTCGTCATCGCCGTCGTCGTCGTCGTCGTCGTCGTCGTCAACGTCGTGTCGGTCGTCGGTCGTGGTCGTCCGTCGTCGGTCGTCGGTCGCCACAACCGCCGACGTCGCCATCGACGTCGTCGTCCGTCGTCATCGTCGTCTTCGTCATCGTAGCCGTAGTCGTTGTCGTCGTCATCGTCGTCGTCGTCGTCGTTGTCGTCGTCGTCGCCGTGGCCGTCGTCGTCGTCGTCGTCGTCGTCGTCGTCGTCGTCGTCGTCGTCTCGTCCTCGGTCGTCGAAGTCGTCGTCGTCGTCGTCGTCGTCGTCGGCGGTCGTCGTTATCGGTCGTCGAATGTGGATCTTCGGTCGTCGGTCGTCAGACGTCGGTCGTCGTTGTGATCGTCGCCGCCGCCGCCGAAGCTGCCGCCGCCCCAGCGGCCGCCGCCGCAGCAGCCGCCCCAGCGGCCGCCGCCGCCGTCGTCGTCGACGTCGTTGTCGTCGTCGACGTCGTCGTCGTCGTCGTCGTCGTCGTCGTCGTCGTCGTCGTGGTCGTCGTCGTCGTGGTCGTCGTCGTGGTCGTCGTCGTCATCATCGCAGCCGTCGTCGACGTCGTCGTCGTCGTAGTCCGTCGTCGTCGTCGTCGTCGTCGTCGTCGTCGTCGTCGTCGTCGTCGTCGTCGTCGTCGTCGTCGTCGGTCGTCACCGTCGTCGTAGCCGTGCTCGTCGTCGTAATCGTCGTCGTCGTTATTGTCGTCGTCGTGGTCGTCTGTTGTCGGTCGTCGTCGTCGTCGTCTGCCGCCGGTCGTCCTCGTCGTCTGTCGTCGGTCGTCGTCGTCGGTCGTCGATCGTCGGACGGGTCGTCGGTCGTCTGTCGTCGGTGGCCAGTTGTCCGTCGTCGTCGTCCGTCGTTGTCGTCGTCCGTTGTCGTCGTCCGTCGTCCGTCGTCGGTCGTCGTCGTCGTCGTCGTCGTCGTCGACGGTCGTCGGCGTCGGTCGTCGTCGGCGTCGTCGTCGTAGCCGTCATCGATGTAGCCGTCGTCGTCGACGTCCTCGTTGTCGTTGTAGTCGTCGTCATCAACGTCGTGGTCGCAGTCGTCGTCGTCGTCGTCGTCGTCGTCGTCGTCGTCGTCGGTCGTCGGTCGTCGGTCGTAGGTCGTTGGCCGTCGGTCGTCATCGTTTGTCGTCGGTCGGCGATGCCGCCGCCGAAGCCGCGGCCGCCGTCGTCTCGCCGTCGTCATCGTCGTCGTCGTCGGTCGTCGTTGGTCGTCGTCGTCGTGGTCGACGTCATCATCATCGTAGCTACCACCGCCGTCGCCGTCATCGGTCGTCGTCGTCATCGTCGTCGTCGCTGGCGTCCGACGTCGTCGACGTCGTCGTCGTCGTCCGTCGTCATCGTCGTCGTCGTCGTTGTCGTCGTAGCCGTCGTCATCGCCCTCGGCGTCGTCGTCGTCGTCGTCGGGTGTCGGTCGTCGGTTGTCGTCGTTGGTCGTCGGTCGTCGGTCGTCGGTGTCTGGTCGTCGGTCGTCGGTCGTCGGCCATCGGCCGTCGGTCGTCCGTCGTCCGTCGTCCGTACTCAGTCGTCGTCGTCGTCGTCGGTCGTCGTCGTCGTCGTCGTAGCTGTCGTGGTAGGCTTTGTCGTCGTCCGTCGTCCGTCGTCCGTCGTCGTCGTCGTCGTCGTCGTAGCAACCGTCGGTCGTCGTCGTTGTCGTCGTCGTCGTCGTCGTCGTCGGTCGTCGGTCGCCAGTCGTCGGTCGTCTGTCGCTGGTTGTCGTTCGTGGGTCGCCGGTCCTCGGTCGCCGCCGCAACCGCCAGCAACGTCGTCTTCGTCGTCGTCGTAGCTGTCGTCGTAGCCGTGGTCGTCGTCGTCGTCGTCGTCGACGGTCGTCGGTCGTCGGTCGTCGGTAGTCCGTCGTCGGTCGTCGGCCGTCGGTTGCCGCCACCACCGCCGCCGCCATCGCCGCCGCCGCCGCCGTCGGTCGTCGTCGTCGTCGTTGTCGTCGACGTCGTCGGTCGTCGGTCGTCGGTCGTCGCTGGCCGTTCGTCGGTCGTCCGTCGTCGGTCGCCGGTCGTCCGGCGTCCGTCGTCATCGTCGGTCGTCGGTCTTCGTTTGTCGGTCGTCGGTCGTTGGTCGTCGGTAGTCGGTCGTCGTCGTCGGTCGTAGGTCGTCGGTCGTCAGTCGTCGGTCGTCGTCGTCGGCGTCGTCGGTCGTCGTCGTAGCCTTCGTCGTAGCCTTCGTCGTCGTCCGTCGTCCGTCGTCCGTCGTCGTCGTCGTCGGTGTGGTCGTCGTCGTCGTCGTAGCCGTCGTCAGTCGTCGTCGTCGTCGGTCGTCGCCCGCCATCGTCCGTTCTTTCAAGTTTGCAAGCGTCGTGCTCCTCCTGCTCTCTGCGGTTTCATCCCCTGCTTTCTCAGGATCGTCCTCCGTCTTCTCCGCCCCCTCCGCGCCCTCATCCTCTTCTTCCGCCTCCTCTTCCTCATGGTTGTCCTCCGCCTCCTCTGTCGTCCTCTTCCTTCTCCCCCTTCTCGTCCTTTTCCTCCTCCTATCCTTTCTCGTCCTTATCCGCCTTCTCCGACTATTCCTGAATACACGCAAATGTCCGGATGGGTGTCTCGACGATGGGCAGCAAGGGCCGGCTTGCTCGGGTGCGGTAAGGCCACTCCTGACCGACTCCTGCTCCTCCTCCTCCTCCTCCTCCTCAGCCTCCTGCTAAGTATTGCCCGAGAAGATCGACGCCAGATGAGTTGAAACGCTTGTTGCGTGTTGTCGGCCTTCAGAGGCCTCTGGTTGGCCTCTTCTGGGGTTCTGGTCTCGGGGAGACACCGAACAGACTTCAACCTCCACCTGCTTCCCCCCTCCTCCCCAACTGTATGTCGTAGCGGGTACTCTCTTGGATGGTCCTGGGTCCGCGGAGGCACAGAACAAACACCACAACCTCCTCCTGCTCGCCCTCTTCCCCAGCGGTATACCGCAGCGGGTCGTTTCTTGGATGGTCCTGGGGCCCGAAGCCCAGCCCCTGGAGCCTGACATGCTGGCAGAGAGCTCCAGCCGTGCTTGAAGCTCCCGCCGTGGCCCTTCCCCCTCGGGTGTCGACCGCCAGACCTGTCCCCGAGCGCTCTCCGACCAAGATCTCGAGGCGGACCCGGCCCATGGCGATGAGGGCCCCCCAGGACGCCCAGAAGAGGCAAAACACATCGGATCCCCCTTTGTGCGACGACGGCGACGACGACGGGCGACGGCGACGGCGACGACGACAACGAACGACGAAGGACGACTGACGACGGACGCTGGAGGACGGAGCTCGGAGGACGGAGGACGACGACGAGGAAGACGACGACGACGGACGACGACGACGACGAGAACGAGGCCGACGACGACGACGGACGACGGCGACGGACGACGGACGACGGACGACGGACGGCGGCGACGACGACGGGCGACGACGACGGACGACGACAACGACGACGACGGATGAAGGAGGACGGCCGACGAACGACGGACGACGGAGGATGGCGGACGGAGGACGGAGGACGGACGACGACGACGAACCACAGACGACGGACGACGGACGAAGGACGACGGACGACGGTGGACGACGGACGCCTGCGGGGCGGGGCGCCCCGAAGGCATCCCACAGTCTTCGAGGGCTTCCGAAGTCTTCAGAGGCCCCCGAGGGCCTCCGAGGCCGTCCGAGGCCTCTAGACGACGATGGACGACGGCGGCGGTGACGACGGACGACGGCGGCGGCGACGGCGGCGAGCGGGGCGATGCCGAGGGGCGCGCGGCGGGGCCGGCCTCAGAGCCTCCGCGGTGGTGGGCTCCACGCCCAGCTCGCGCAGCGCGGCGTGGGAGCTGCCGGGCCCGCGGAGGAGGGGGGAGGCACTGGTAGGATTGGCGGGGAGCTGCAGATGAGGAGGAGGAGGAGGAGGAGGAGGAGGAGGAGGAGGAGGCGGGGAGGGGTATGAAGACGATGATGATGCTGTTGATGATGGTAATGATGATGATGATGAGGATGATGATGCTGATGATGATGATGATGATGATGATGATGATGATGATGATGATGATGCTGGTGGTGATGCTGATGATTATCATGATCATGATACTAAATATGATGATGATGGTGCTGAAGATGATGGTGGTAATGCTGATGCTGGTGATGGTGGTGGTGACGGTGCTGATGATCAAGATGATGGTGAACGTGATGATGGCGATGGCGATGCTGACGCTGACGATGATGAGGATGATGATGATGCTGATAATGATGGTGACGCTGATGGTGATGGTGAGAATAATGATTTTGGCGATGGTGATGATGTTTGTGACGATGATGATGATGATGATGATGATGATGGTGATGATGATGTTGATGATGATGCTGATGATGCTGAGCGAATTATTGCGGTGATGATGCGATTTGATGATGATGGTTGTGATGTGTGTGGCGATGATGTTGACGATTATGCTGACTATGCCAATGTTGTTGCTGTTCTTGTTGGTGATGGTGATATTGATGAGGACGAGGCTGGTGATAACACTGATGATGCTGCGGCTTATGCTGTATGTTGCTGGCGGTGGAGAAGAGGAGCAAGGGCAACAACGGGAGAGGGATGGATGGTGATGACGGTGATGGTGCTGCTTGCGGTAACGCTGACGAGGATGCTGCAGCTGATGCTGATTTTGGCGATGATGGTGATGACGAGGATGATGGTGATAACGGTGGTGATGCTGCTGCTGACATTGCAATGTGATCGCAATTCCCTTGGCGCAACCTGGCTCGCTCCTGAGCAAATGGCGGACGGCCATCCGCCTCTTGGCGATGTCACGGGCGCGGGCGCACGGCACAGGCCCGATGCAGTCTGGGCCCAACCAGTCCTGAACCCGCAAGGCATTAAAAGTGGCAAACAGAAGAACGTGCACAACACATAGGCTATGCAACTCTCGGGAGTCGGCGCAACGGGAAAAAGGCAACACAGCATCCGATCACAGAGGCGCATGTCACTCAAACTGGCAGGCACATTGGGTAAATGAGTGGGCAATAACCTGTGTCGCCGACCGCATTGCAACCAGACTTACTGGCCAGGCGGTCTTGTCTTAACCTGGGCGAATTCACCCACGAATTGCAAACGAGTTTTGACCAGGCAGAACACACGAACGGACCAACTTTGGCACAATATGTCCTACGCCTGGGAACAACTAGGTCTACATCGCACGCGCTGCTCAAGGGAAGCGCGTGAAGCATCCGAGGAGCGAGTAACTCATGAACCTGTCTCGCTAAAAACACACCGTGCAGCTTTATCAAGGCACTACGCTGCAACTCGTAAATGTCTTCGTCGGGCTCACGCCAAGGCAGCTTGGGTAGTCACGCTGGAGGAAAATCATGGAACCGCCGATCCACTCCGTGCATCTGATCACCGCCGACAGCTCCAAGCCCTCATTGAGCAACTCGTGGAACCGCCTTTGGGAGTTACTGAACACCTCGAAGCGGACGGCGACTCGGCGCATGGCGGCTCGACTCTCGAGCTCGAGGTGCCCTGGCGTTACAGGCCAGCGCATTCACTTCAAATCACGAAACAGGTCGGCTTGGATACTACAGTGTGGGCATAGTGTTGGGGCCTGAAGACCGCACGCTTCCGTCGAGAAGATGCCTTTCGATGGGGAACACATCTGCATCGCGACGGTGAGCGCGGATAGCGCAAGCGAGTTGTACGCGTGGGCGCTTTCGGTGAGCCCAGGACACAACAACCGAACGTGACGAACGCGGCGCGCATACTTGCGAGCGGGCTCCCCCCAGGTCCTCCGATACCCTCCTCGCGCTTGTATTCAAACTCCTTATCACCCAAAGGGTGGTCGTGCAGGTAGTAAAGGCTGAGCGCGCTGGAGCGGGCAGCGTGGACACATTCAGAGGGGCAAAAAAGGTGCTCAAGGCAAATCTCCACGCCCAGGGGGGCGCCCCAAGAACTTCGCCGCAGGTGGCATGCCGAAGTGACCGAATATTCGTCGTAGCGATACGGAGCAAGGCGGGAATCTCGTCGTCAGACATCTCTCGCACATGCACGATTTCGCGCTTAGCTAAGTCCCACCAGCCCTTTGGGCGTGAGTGGTTTCGCGAGCTTTCTCTGTCCTCAACCCCCCAACCCCCCTTCTTCCCCTTCGGGGAGGGGTTTACCCCTCCCCCTACCCCCTCCCCCTGGGCCTGGAGAGGGCGTCCCGAGTGCAATCGGGGGGGGGGGTCCATTTCGACTCCTGGGAGGGCCAAACAACGACGACCCTCACGAGGATTCTGGCCCCCAGGGGGGGGGAGACCGTTTGGCCCCTCTGCTCGTCTTTGAAACAGAAATCATTGATTTTACGAGGGTTTTGGCCCCATTTTGGCCTTCTGAGGGGGCCGCGCTCATCTTCCCTCATAGCAAAACCATTGATTTTACGCAGGTTTTGGGCTCATTTTGTCCCTCTCAGGGGGCGGCTCTCATTTGCGCTTCTGAGGAGGTCGCACGAGGCCCCAAGATGGCCCCAAGAGGCACCCAGGAGGCTCCCGAGAGGCCTCCAAGAGGCCCCCCAGAGGCCCCCCAGAGGCCCCCAAGCGGCCCCAAGAGGCCCCCAAGAGGCCCCCAAGAGGCCCCCAAGAGGCCCCACGAGGCCCCAAGAGGCCCCCAAGAGGCCCCCAAGAGGCCCCCAAGAGGCCCCCAAGAGGCCCCCAAGAGGCCCCCAAGAGGCCCCAAGAGGCCCCCAAGAGGCCCCACGAGGAGCCCGAACGACTCACACCAGGACGAGGGGCCCGAACGACTCACACCACGAAGAGCCCGAACGACTCACACCACAAGGAGGGGCCCGAACGACTCACACCAGGACGAGGCGCCCGAACGACTCACACCACGAGGAGCCCGAAGGACTCACACCACGACGCGGGCCCCTCACGACTCACACCACGAGGAGCCCGAACGAGTCACACCAGGAGGAGGGGCCCGAACGACTCACACCAGGATGAGGGGCCCGAACAACTCACACCACGAGAAGCCCGACCGACTCACACCAGGACGAAGAGCCCGAACGACTCACACCACGAAGAGCCCGAACGACTCACACCAGGAAGAAGGGCCCGAACGACTCACACCAGGACGAAAAACCCCAAACGACTCAAATCACGAGGAGCGCTTTCTCTCCCTCCTCCTCCGCCTCGTCCTTCTCCCGCTCCCCTTCACAAGGAGGATGTACAAGGAGGCGGGAGGAAGGAGGAACAGGGGAGATATGCGGGGCCAGGCGGACACACGCCTGAAAAACACGACTGTCGGCATGCTTCGCGAGAGTTGCTGCTGTGAGATGGGCTGGTGGGGATACGCGAAGCGTAAAGAACTCGGGAGCAGGCTAGTGCACTGGCTGGCCTGGAAAACTGTGCGGCGCATAACGACCAGCGCGGCCTTCAACCACTTGGCACCAGAAACTTACATATTGTCTGCAAAAGCCCGAGCAGTCGCCGCTTGGGGCGGGGTCAATTTGTTTTTTGGGGGGACGCAGGGGCGGGTCTAGATGTTGTGCGGAAAGGGCCCCAGACAGTGGACAACCTTGTTTTATCCCTGGGGTGGTGCCATACCCAGGAAACATATTGCCGCGCAGGCTGACGCGTGTGCGTGGATGTTGGTATACGTGAACATGATCACCTTGAAGTAGAACTGAGGAACGTGCATCGTTGTTAGAACATCTGTGATCCACTCGTGGCGCAACGAAGGGAGGGCAGCACGGGAAACTGAAAGAAAGGCGCCCGCGTGCGGCGTTCCGCGGCAACGGGCGCGACCGAGCATGTCTGCCTCCAAGCAAAGAATGTTGCCCAGATGCGAACGCTGGCAAATAAAACCAGCATGGGAACCCAAGACGCTGTGCTGGCATTGTTGGCTAAGGGGCCCCACGAAGGCAAGAGGCGCGATTTGGTTGTCGGCGGCGCTGAGGGCAGTGGGGCGCACCGCGGAGGCTTCGCGGGAGATCTCGGAGAGGCCGGCTTCGGCCGGGGTGGCCGATTCTGACGGGCGCGCGGCGAGGGGCTCGTTGTGCTGGGGCCTTATGGCGGGGTGCTCCAGGATGGCCAGATGCACCTGATGAAGGGCCTCGTGGGGAGCTTCGCCAGCGCAACGCCATGCGCAGCATGGCACTCCGTCGGGGCCCGTGGCGGAGCCCCGCCTCTCCCAGAGAGCCCACTATGCAGTGTGTAGTAGTCGAGCTTCCACTCGGTGCCGGGAACCTGCCGCGTCGCAGTGCTCGAGAAAACTTCTGCTAGTGATATTCGTCAAAGATCGGGCTGCGTGACCCCCCCTTCAGTGCTTGGTGAGGTTCGCGGCGGTCGTCGCCGAATCAGGCCTAAACCTCGCAGGTGGGGTCGGGGGCGGAAGCAGGAACACTCCTTGGCCTCTTCGGAGACAACTGCCTAGGAGGATGGTGTAACTTCTGCGACTGTTCATCGTCAAGGGCGCCACTTCCCGCGATATGAACGCGCAGATCCCGCTGCAAGACAGAGTGCTTGGGCGCGCCCATCTCTCGATGGAACTTCGGGGCGCCCCGGAAGCAGCCATCGCCGGTATCGACGGGGGGGCTAAGGGCGGGAATGGCGCGAATGCGCCGAGCGACTACCCAAGAGTTGCAGCCGCAAGCGGCTCGGGCAAGCGTCGCGCGCGCCGATGGCCCCTGAGCGTCGGTACTTAGGAGAACATCCTGCTCGTGATGGGGTCCTTGGCAACGCGCGTCGCATCCTTTAAAGCCTCGAGCCTCTCGAAGGGGTCTAGGGGCATCTGGGTGGAGCTGAACGCTTCGTTGATTTCGCCCACGAAGGCAGGGTGCCGCGCAATCCAGGATGGGGGTTGTCGGATTCGCCTGGCCGCCATGCGTGAGCTGCAAACAGACAAGAATGCAATCGCTAAGCTGCTCGGGGTCGCGCGCGAGACCCACGATGCCGCTCCGCGGCGCAGTATCTGAAATGCCGGCAGTAGCAGCAGGGATGTAGAACCGGTCCAGTGTCCCACGGCTGAGAACACCATCGCCCCTTCTCCCCGATCTGAATGCAGGCTCCGTCTGGGCGATGTCGGCAAGGTGCCCGAAAGGCCTCGACAACTTCCGAACCGTGGCTTCCCATTCGGACCTGCCGCCCCCCCGCGAAATTGAAGTCTACCCCGGGAACCGTTGGGGCCTGATCTGGTGGAAGGGCATGCGCAGCATCGCGGATGACCAGTTCCTTCTGAGTCGCCTAAGATCGGGTCGAGATGCACGTTGGCCGGTTGAACCTGACCGCGGGCCCCAGAGAGCGCGCAAGCAAGACTGCCCCGCCAGCTCATGATGATCAACGTAAGTCGTAGCGACGGTGCCCCGGAACATCGCGCTCGAGAGACGCATCGCCTTCGCGGGCCCCGTGGGTTTCCTGCGTGAGCGCTACTCGGTACTTCTGAAGGAGACGCTTGGGAACCCTATATTTCTTCTGCTGCCGCTGGGGGTCGTCATAGACCCCCGCGTCAAAAACGCGGGTGTTCCAGCCAACTTGGCCCAAGGCTCTCGCGATGCAAAATGGACCCACCCGCTCAGCTGGAGCGGGCTCACCTCCCCCTGGAGAAGAATCAGGATGGGCCGGCGCAGGAATGTCATCAGCATTCCCACAGGGGCGAGGCAAGACACAAGGAACAGAAGCGGAGTCCCCCTTATCTCACCTAGCCGGGCGCGACGATGACGTATGTTGAATTCATGATGTCCACCTTCAGAGAATTGCTCGGCGCCGTCCTATCCCAGCAGCCGCTCGATCTCCTCGTCGGCTAGGCCGTGCTGCTTCAAATTTCCACGATTGGGGTCCACATGTGGCTTATCGTTGTCGAGAACGGCATTGAGCTCAGCCAGCTCGACGACGAAGTCCCCGTTGACGACGACGCACAGATTCCACATATTCATGTACTTGTTGCACCGAGGCTGGGTATCTTGAGACCATGTACTTGCGCGAACCATGCAGGTCTTAACGTGCTGCCATACCTGTCCCAGAAACCAATCCTTCTTCTTGCGGATGTCGATCGGCTCGTCCGAACCAACCAGCAGACGATGACGGAAGCCTGCCGCGTCGCCCCGCCCCAGCTCCAGCGAACGACAGCTTTTGTTTGCCGCCTGGCACTTGTCGCGCAAGGTCGGCGAGAACTGCAGCTTCAGAGGCGCGAAGTGTTTGTCGAAGGCAAAGGCCATCAACTTCCACACGAGACAACGCGAACCCAAACTCCGCGTCGGTCTCCTTCAGGCAACGACACTCCCGATAATAGCACTGGAGTGCCGTTCGAATGAGACGAAATGCTCCTGCCCGGAGACGAAATGACAGAGGGCACTGGCGACATACTGGCGACGGTGGTCTTCAGCTCCTCGACAGACTTCCTCAAGTATGGCATGCTGATCGGCATTCTGAGCAGCGGTGAGTCTAATGTTGAGCCCAGAATCAATCATGTCAGCGCCCAATCATCAGGACCAGGCCGCTGAAGACGAAGCGTGGCGCTCTGCTCCTGCATGTCTCCGGACCTCCTGTCCTGTTCATCGAGCTTCGCCAGCATATCACTCGGTACTCTGTGCACATCTGTAGTCACCGTGGCAGGCACATTGTCATGATGATGGACGCTTGTCGCCATTTGACCCATCCGCGCGAGACACATATCCATCTTCGCATCAAGAAGCATCGAACAAGTGTAAACATATAGCGGTATAATAAGCCGCGCAAGTGTGAAAATGTGGAGAAACTCCGGATGGACGCTGGAACCGCCCCCTCGGCACAGTCCAAGTTCGAAGCGCCAGGGACGCATGTTTCGAACTTGAGCCACAATGGCTACGGATGATGATGATGATGATGATGATGATGATGATGATGATGATGATGATGATGATGATGAGGTTGATCATCACCGTGGTGATGCTGCTGATGATAATACTACTACATACTGATGATGTTGATGTTGATGCTGATGCTGATGATATCGATGATGGTGGCGAGGACGAGGACAAGGGCGAGGATGAAGGGTGTTGATGCCGATGATCGTGGTACCGCTGGTGATGATGCCGACGATGAGGACGAATAGGAGAAGGATGCATACAATAAGCAATAGGAGAAAGTGGAAAAGGAGGGGGAGGAGGAAGAGGAGGAGGAGGACGAGGGGAGGAGGGATGATGATGATGATGATGATGATGATGATGATGATGATGATGATGATGATGATGATGATGATGATGATGATGGGCGGAGGAGGCGGAGGAGGATGAGGAGAAAAAGGGGAAGGAGGAGGAGAAGGAGGAGGAGAAGTAGGGGGATGAGGAGAAGGTGGAGGAGGAGACGGAGGAGGAGGAGTAAAGCCGAGCTCATGTGCGATGTCTGGGGCCGATTGCGCCTTGCAAGCAACTGGAAGAGGCAGAGGAGGAGGATGAGGAGGCAGAGGGAGGATGAGGAAGAGAAACGGGATTCTGACGCTCTGGGTCTTTATATGCCCTCCTGGGAATCCAGTTTCAATCCTCTCGTCCTCCCCCTCCCCATCCTTCCCTTGTCCTCCTCGTGCTCCTTCCGCTTGCCTCCTCCTCCTCCTCCTCCTCATCCCTCCTCCCCCTCCTCCTCCACCACTTTCCTGCGTTCCGTCGGTTGACAAAGCGGAGGAAAATGCACAGAGGAAAGCGCGGGACCCGAAGGTGGGCGAGACGGAGAGGGAGAAAGAGACATGGGACGCGAAAGGCGGGATGTGGAGCGGAATAAGGGGTGGATGCGGAGAGCGCGGATGACGAGGCAAGCAGGGAGGTTGAAACGGCGGAGGAACAGTAACAGGAGGGAGGGACGACCGAGTTCGTCCGATGGTCGCCGTCGATGAAAGCGGACGCCACGAATCAAACTATGGGGCTCTACAGCCCCGCATGCAGAAGGTGCGAAGCTAGCCCTGGGTCAATCGCATGCCGACGCCGGGCGCGGGCCTGCAAGCGCTCCGCGGCAATTGACCCAGGCGGCGCTCACCCAGCACCGGATCCGCAGAAAGACGAGACTGCAATGCGCCTCATGGAAAGTCTTAGGGGCAAGAACAATTGAGCCTCCGGCAACGGGGGGGGGAATAGAACGGAGGGTGAAGAAACGCGCATGGCTCCAGCACGTGTTTGGGCCCGAAGTGGCAGTTCAGGGGACGTCTGCGGGCCATAGACGTCCACAGTGGCCACAGACTATGGCCACTGTGGAGTCGCTGTCCTGCAATCCTCGACCGCCCCCTGGGGTTGTTGCCACCGCGCTGCCGCTCGCCCAAAACAGAGCAGCCCTGGCCCTCGTGGGAGGGGCCACCCTGCAAACCATCCGGGGCGCGATCGGGGCAATCCCGGCGATCAACGATTTGATCTCGCGCTCAGCGTGCTTCGCCTCCGCGCTGGCAACCGCGGAAACGCCGGCAAGACCGCAGCACGGCAGGCAGCGGCATCAGTGGGGCGCTTGGGCCCAGGCTCGGCGGCGCCAGAAGCCCGAGCCTTCGTCAGCGGCTCGCTGCTGTCCGACACCTCACCCCCGTGGATGTCCACTCTGGACACCGTCGCGTCGTTGAAGTCCACCCTGGGACACAGCGGGCCATTCTTAAGCGTCCCGTCGGCATCGGCCTGGAGGGCATCACCCTCGATAGACCGACTGGCTGCGTCATAGCCAGCGCGGCTGCCATCTGAGGGCTCCGTGCCGAAGTTCGAATCCTTTCTCGAAGAGGTGCTCGACTTGCAGGTGGGCACCTTGGACTGAGTCGCTGCTACGACCTTCTGGATCAGGTCGCCGTCCTCGCGGTGCTCGGTGCACCGCCGACCGTGGAAGGATCTTGTCCGCTCCGCTGCGGAAAGTCCCGATGCCGCTCGCGCAGCAGAGCGGCAAGCAACGTCGAAGACCCGACGCTGCACCAGCCCCGCGCAGGAACTTCTCCTTCGCCGCGCGCCAGCCTGTGGCATGTCCAAGCGCTACGCTTGGTCGGTGGGAGGTTGGCCATGCACCGCAACGACCGCAGCCGCGCACGGCGCCTTCTTGAGCAGCCGCCCCGCTAGAGGTCCTGATCCCGAGAGAACGCGCGGCTGCGAAAACCGACAGCACCCTCGAGCGGCGCCGAGACATGTATAATGCGCCGAGGCGAATGGGAGAGGACATGACGGAAGAGGGAGCAGAACGCGGGAGGAGGGGGGAGGAAGGAGGACTACGCGTGGGAGAGGGAGGGGGTGTGGACGAGGCATGAGGGGGGAGGGAGGAGGAGAGGTGGGAGGAGAGGGACGAGGGACACATCCTTTTGAAAAGGCTCGCGAAACGATGCTGGAGCACATCTCGCCACGAAGCCGCCGCTCGACACGTCGGCGGCGGCACGCGCGCCTGGCGGCGCGCCGGCGCCCGTCAGCCCGCCCTCGAGGCCTTCGCGTGCGCCTCGTAGCCCTCCTTGAGCTGCACGAAGAGGGCGCTCGCCTCGCACGCGACGACGCACTCGCCGAGCGACTTCTCGACCAGCATCTCGCCCTTCGCGAAGACCTTGCGGCCCTCCACCCTGTCCAGAACGACGGCGGAGGAGGAAAGGACTGCACAAACCTGAACTTTCGGAGCTCTGCGCGGATTTTTCAGGCCGTCGCTGGGCCCCTGTCCCTGGCGAGCGCCGCAGGCGCCGCCAGGGGTGTCCCAGCGCCGACCCAAGGACTCCGCACGGACCTCAGAATGTTTACGCTCATGGAATGTTTCCTCCTCCGAATAGCGCATACCACTCCGCTGGTCAGCGGCACGGGCCTCTTATAGTCCACGTGGAGGTAGGCGGTCACGACCTTCGGGTCGGGCGAAAGGGGGGCATAGCAAAGGGGGGGTTTGAGAATCAGCTCACGCAGCTGATTTTCCCGGCGCTTCCTGGCGCTGGGAGGCGGCTATGCATCGAGGACTGGGCCCCTCGGTGAGGCCGAAACCAGCTGCATGCAGCAAATTTCGTAACCCCCCCTTTCCCTTGGGCGTGGCTTAATGGGGGGGGGTCGCAAATGGGGGGGTCAGAAAAGGTCCCCTTTCGTGCCCCTTTCGGGCCCCTCCAGAGCCCCAAGGGGCTCGTTTAGGTACCGTTTGGGTACCTTTTCGGACCACGCTCGCCGCCCCCCCATTTATGACCCCCCCATTACGCGGCGCCCAATTCCCAATCCCCCCCTTTCGTACGGCCCGAGACCTGGCCGCTCCTGCCCGAGGTCCGCAGGTGCGTGTTCGTGAACGCGCCGAAAGCGTCGTCCAGCAGCGCGGCGGAGCAGCCGCCGTGGCAGAACGTCGGCGGGCCCTCCACCTTAACGACGAAGAGAAACAATCTTACGCGAGAAGCCCTCCTCCTCCTCCTCCTCCTCCTCCTCCTCCTCCTCCTCCTCCTCCTCCTCCTCCTCCTCCCCTTTCTCCCCTCCTCCTCCTCCTCCTCCTCTCTCCCCCTCCTCCTCCTCCTCCTCCTCCTCCTCCTCCTCCTCCTCCTCCTCCTCCTCCTCCTCCTCCTCCTCCTCCTCCTCCTCCTCCTCCTCCTCCTCCTCCTCCTCCCCCTCCCCTCCTCTTTCCTCCTCCTCCTCCTCCTCCTCCTCCTCCTCCTCCTCCCACTCCTAGCCCTTTCGATCAGGGTCGGCGGCACCGGCCGTCAGGCCTCTCCAATCAAGACGACCCTCCGCCACGACTTACGCGGGCCGGCAGCGTGGCACGCCGCGTGGCGAAGAGGGCGCTTGCGCGCGGCTTTACGCGGGAAGCTCGCGCGCGAGTGTCGGCGCAATAGGCACCGACTGTTTCCGTCACTCAGCTGGCGTCAGTTGGTCGGGGGGGATGCCAATGACCATCTGCCACGCTACTCAACGACCCAGTGATGACCCACTTGCCTGATGACCAAGTGGCCCAATCTCCGCCTAGCCTGCTGGTCTACGCTACGCAAGTCGTTCGGCCGGTACGTTACAGATCCACTGACCTACTCGCCTACCTTCAGACTTCCTGACCCGGCTCTAGGTTAGTGGATCAGTCGGCGACTGACCTGCGTAACAATATCCCACTAGGGGATGACTACTGCTCTGCTTGCGTAACAACCGGCTAAACGGTAAATGCACAGGTCAGCGCCACTTCCACCACTGTTTCCTTTCTTTCGCTACTGCCGCCAACATATCTGGCGCCGTGCCGCAGGCACTTGATGGAGCGCCCCCCAACCCCTTCGAGTTCTCAATTCTGACGCAAATGGTCTTTGAACGCCACCGACCACTTCGTGGACTTCCTCTGCGCTTCTGACTCGTGAGGCCAGTCGCATGATCTTCCAAGGATGGCGAGGTAGGGTGGCTCGGAACTCAGACTTCCAGCGCGAGCCAAGATGGTCCCGCGAGCCCGTCCTGGGGCTCCTCCTGGGGGCCCTCCTGGGCCGTGCTGGAAGCCTCGGGGCCCCGCAACGAGGCACCCAGGAGGCCCCCCGAGGGGGCCCTCGAGAGGGCCCGCGCGAGACCCCCAGAGCGACGCCCCGAAGGCGTCTGGGCCGCCTCCTGCCCACGACGCAGGCACGGGGGCGGGACGGACCGAGTGCCGCTAGATACGAGGGCGCATGCAGGGAGCACTGTGATGCTTCCCTGGGCGTCGGATGGGGAAGCTCGATATCCCCGCTCGGCCAAGAATTCTGCGCCGTCTGTCTCTATCAGTCGCATCCTGGTTGGGCCGCAGTTTCGAGCATAACCATCATGGCTCCTTCCTCCTCCTCCTCCTCCTTCTCCTCCTCCTGCCCTCCTGCTCCTCCTACTCAGCCCCTTCCCCTCCCTGCTGTCCTGCCCTTGTCTGGCACAGCAATCGAAGTCATCATCCTTGTCGTAAAAGTGGTACTGCCAGTGGTCCTGGTGGTGCTAATTAGTATCTGTGGTGCCGCAGTGGTGCTTATACGTATATGTATATTTATAACGACCCATCGCCCAAAGTAGTGGCTGCCGGCTCCACCTGGGAGCTCAAGGCCCAATACGTCAGCGCGGTGCGCACGACGCCTTCGCCGTCAACGTGGAAATAATAAACCGCTGAGTTCAGCGCGCCCGCTCCGCGCAGGGTGCCGTGGAGGAAGTGCCTCGGCTGCCGCCCGTTCCGCACGAACGAGCAGCTCCTGTCTGCGACGGCATTGCACCTCGTCGCCACGGCCTCGACCAGCAGCCGCGGCAGCTCCTGCCTCTCCAGACCTCTCTGGCGACCCACTGGGGCCCTGCCAACCCGGCCAACACATACCAAGCAACGGTTGCACAGTTCTCGAGAACGTTCATGCCCTCAGGGCTCGTCACAGTCCCCGTTCACGGGGCTCTGAACTAAGCCGTCTGGTGCTGCCGGTCCCCGGAGCTCTCGACCTAGTCCCGAGGAGCTGGTCTCTCGTCCCCCCCGAAGCCTGGCCCTCGGAGAACGAGAATGGCACACATCTCGGGCGCGACTGGGGGACAAACCCGGTACCGATACCGCTGCCCCCCCTGGGGTGCGTTCTGACAAGAACTTCGAGGCGAATCCAGCCATGGCGTCGAGGGCCTCCCAGGAGCCCCAAACAAATTGGAGGGGGGATGGGGGTGCGGTGGAAAGGGGTGCGGTGCCAGCGCTGGAAATCGCGAAAGTATCGACGATATCTGCAAGTGCTCTTTTACATGCGGATATCACCCACGCTGGCTTTGCGGCGATCGCGTCGAACAACGTGAGACCTGATTCCGCACCTCCCGAACGGCCGCAATCAAATTTGAACAACAGCGCACATGCCAACCCCAAATTGTCCGATCGCCAAACCCGCGACCCCCAAACATCGAATCGCAAACAAAGAGATCCCGGAACTTATGAATTGCGAACTGAATGATTCCGGAAATTCCGAATAGCCAACAATATGATTCTGGAACGTCCGAAATTTTAACAACGTAGTGCTGTTCGCGTGCAAATCCAAACTCTGGAGATTCCGAAACGACGTTCTGGAAATTCCGAAAATGGAAATACCGAAATCACGCAAATGAGCTCCAGACATTCCGACATTTCCAGAATCGCGCACCCAGAGATCGGACGTCCTGGAATTGGTATTGCGCAGCCGCTTGGATTGGACGGAACTCGCTTGGGCGAGTCCGAACCTGAGGGTCTCACGTCGGTAGCTGCGGTCGTCGCGAAACCAACGCGTTTCACATCGGCATGTCAGGCACCGGCGGATCTCAGCGATAACATCGCCATTGCCAGCGCTGGCACCGCACCCCTTCACACCACACCCCTTCACACCACACCGATACAATTACTCTTGCCTCGTCGAGGCAAAACCTCGCCATCGCTCGGACGTCCATTCCCTGCTTTTTTTTCGGTTTTCGCCAAATGATCAAGGATGCTCCTTGATGGTCCTCGCCGAAGGAAAAATGCACACGTCCGACCGATGCCAAGAAACTAATGGCATCGGTGCTTTTCCACCCTCTGAGACTTGGCGAACAACTCGGCCGCGACTTTTTCGGGCCGCCAGGAGGTCCGCCTCGCGGGCAGCGCGCGCAGCGAAGGAGTCGGGCGCGGCCCCGGGCCCCCGACGTCGTGATCTCTGTCGCAGCGTCGGCCCTCAGAAATCTTGCAGCCTGGGAACCCCTTCCCTGGGACGAAGAGGAGGAGGAGGAGGAGGAGGAGGAGGAGGAGGAGGAGGAGGAGGAGGAGGAGGAGGAGGAGGAGGAGGAGGAGGAGGAGGAGGAGGTAGGAGGAGGAGGAGGAGAAGGAGGAGGAGGAGGAGGAGGAGGAGGGAGGAGGAGGAGGAGGAGGAGGACTAAAGGGCTAAAGGGCTGACGACAACGAACGTCGAATCACGTGAATTACTGGCGGAGGTCTTCAAGATTGGCTTGTCTTACAATCTGGGGGGGCCCTTTCACACATGGGTGAAGGCCTCTCCTGATCCTCGCCAGATTCTGCCTCCCCTTCGGGGTGGGTGCAACACAAGGTCTGCAGAGGTGCCTGGGGTCAGTAGTTGCCGTGAGACCGCACATACTGCAGAAAACGAGTTTGAATTCTCCCCAATACTGTAAGGCGTGGGACTCGTCCAAAACCTGCCCTCCCAGAACCCGTCGACCGTTTAAGGGCGCGATTCCTGGGGGAGGGGCACCGTGTGCACACACTGTCGGGGCAGCAGCCATGAACCTCGAACGGTTCACGAAAACCTTGCATTTACGGCAATAAAACTTCGTGCCGAGCCTTCTCCACTCGTGCTTCGAGGCTCTCATGGCCAGCTCGAGCCGCGGGATCCGATCGGGGCGAGGGGCCGAGGGTCGACTTTCGGTCCACGGGTCAGCTCGGATGGCCTCCGCGAGAGCTCTCCGCGCCCTTCGTCGGATCAGGAAGGTCTCGGCGTCCACCGCATCGGTGGAGGGAACACTCGTTACAAATTCGGTCCATGCAGCCGACGCTCCTCGGGAGGCCAGCTCATCAGCACATTCGTTACCTACCGCCCACCACAAGTCTCGGGCCGTGCGTATATCTCCCGACTCACGGTGGGACGGGGTCCATTCGATTAGGACGGGGTCGGGGCCACGAGCTCGCACAGCTCGGCCTATTCTGAACCAGAGGTCGGCGTTGGTACAGCTGAACGACGGGGAGAGATGCCGACCTCTGTTCCAGCCGTCCTGGAGGGGCCTATGATCAGTGACATACCTGAGCGGCCCAAACGTGCATTCGAGGGCCTCCGCGAAGGCCGCTAGCTCGGCCCTCGGGACCGTCTGACGGGTGCCCCCTAGACTACAAACGATACCCGCCGACGGGGTCCAACCACCTGCTGGGAGAGCTTCGAGGGCACAAACTCCTGAGCCAACTCTCCTGCGGCGGCGGTCCGAGGAATGCTCCCCCCCAGAGCCGTCCCCAAAAACCGTGAGGAACCCGTCGGGGCCTCTCGGGACACTCGCGAAATCACCGAATTCGGCGCGGTGAGGAGGGAGGTCGAGGTCGAAGGAGGGGGTCGTGGCCTCGACACTCGGAAGCCCGCGCAGCCAATACGAAGGCCATGCCTCGTGGCACGCGGTGGCCCGAGGGATGAGGTGATCAGATTTCTCGAAATCGGGGTGGCCCTGGTTACAGGCGCAAGCCCAGACACGATGGAAAAGAGAGTCGGCCGCCTGGCCGCAGCGGGGGCAGGCGTCAGGAGCCTCGTAGCCGGCCTCCGCGCGCCTCTGCCTGGTCCACTGGCCCGCCGCGACGACCGCCACGTCGAGCGCCCAGAGGTCATCGTCCCCCCGCTTCTGGAACTGCTGCATCTCCCGCTTGATCATGAGCATGTCGGTGCCGCCCTCAATGTCCAAGGACCCCTGGTGCAGCGCCGCCTGCTTCCAGAGCTTCCTGTCGATGGAGCGCTCGAAGTCCGAGAGCAGCTCCACGTAGTCCGCCGCCGCCTCCGCGAAGCTCGGCTGGTTGGGGCTGGGGAAACGCCAGCCCACGTCCTCGTCCGTGACCCAGAAGTCGTGGTCGACAGGGTCCCATCCTGCGTCAAGGAGGGTCGCCACCGTGGCCGAAACTGGCCCACGCACTCTCCTCCAGCGGTTCTCACCCGCCAGACGGAGCCTCCTGAGCGCTGGCTGCCAGGCCTTGGCGATCCTGGCGTGCAGCTCGGGGTGGGCGAACCACTGGTCCAGCCAGGCCGCCAGCTGCTCGCGCGGGATGCTCTTGGCTGGGTCGCCTCTGCCGTAGAGCATGGCTACGGTGCTGGTGAGGCACCGCCCTGGCCCGCGCCCTGCTGCCGCCTGCGCCGCCTGCCTCCTCAGCCTGAGGACCTCGTAGTGCGGCAGGCCCTGCACCTGGTGGCCGTAGGTGCCCTGCGCTCGGGCCCCTGTCGTCCAGAGGCCCTTGGTCACCACTTTGAGCCTTGCCATCCTGCGCATCTTCCTGATGGCGTGGGCTCGCCTGGCGGCCTTTTGCATTCTCTGTCTGCCTTTGCGCCGTGTGCGCGTCCTCGCGGCGTTGCAGTCCACACCCAGGTCGGTGAAGTTGCCCTCTGCCTTGGCGGGGACGCCGCGCTGCTGGAGGCCCTTCGCAATGGCGATGGCCAGCTTCGGGGAGCTCGCTATCACCGTGGTCTTCGGGGAGACCGTGAGGCCCGCCTCCTTCAGGCACTCGCCCAGCTTGGCGCCGCTGTCGATCAGCTGCTTCTCCACGTTGGCCACGGTGCCCTGGGAGCGCAGGACCGTGTCGTCCACGAACGTCCAGAGGAGGAGGAGGAGGAGGAGGAGAAGGAGGGGTAGGAGGAGCAGGAGGGAGAGGAGGAGGAGGAGGAGGAGGAGGGAGGAGGAGGTGGAGGAGGAGGAGGAGGAGGAGGAGGAGGAGGAGGAGGAGGAGGAGGGCCAGCTTCGCATCCCCAAGGCGCCCTCCCACGGCCCCCAGGCCCGCGGTGGAGGCGCCCACGAGGGGCGAGAACGGCCCCCCGCACCGCCCGTCGTGATTTTTTCTCCCCGCGACCGCGCCGTGGTGCTTTTTCTTGAGCAGGGACCGACCGTCCCGGCATTCCTATAGTCCTACCACGAAATGTTCTTAGAACCCAAAAACACTCTAAGAACAAAACAATGTTCTTAGAACATAAGCCCGATGTGTTAGAACAAAACAGTCCCAGCCAGACATGTTCTAAAAACGTTTCGTGGAAACCACAACGGGTTCTAAGAACTTTGTTGGGTAGGGCTACAGGCCTGCCAAGACGCCTCGCCACTGCTTGATTTTCGGGGCCGCCGGGAGGTCCGCCTCGCGGGCAGCGCCGCGTAGCGCTCCCGGTACGCCTCCGGGATGCGCGGGTCGCCCGCCTCGCGGCCGCCCGCGGCCCGCGGCGGCCAGCACGCGCAGTGCCCCGCGGAGAGCCCCATGGCCCGGGCCGCACGCCTTTGGGCCGGGGCGGCCCGAGCCCAAGCGGCTGCAGAGGAGGATGGCGCGGCCCATCCCCCCGCCCCCCGCCAGGGGCCCCCCCTCTCGAGCTCCTGGGGCTTCTGTCGTCTGGGCCCGAGAGCCCT